ACTATTAGTGACAATTACAAAAGAATGACCATCAGAGAATTGCAAAAGTATTATGATAATTCCGGCATTGCTTCATCTACAGCGAAGGTAAAATTATTATCTAACATTGAAGTTGAATTAAATACTATTTTGCAAAATATCAAAAATCTAGGATACAAAAGATGAAAGATCTACGATATCACTTAAATTTGATAATTAGAAGAAAAAAATAGTTTAAATCAAACTAAGCTAAAAAATATTTTATCACAGTAAGAATTCATCTTTAGATCTCTTACAACGAATAATTTTAAACTAGTTAGTGTCCCAAGTGAAACTAACGGATTTCTAAAGCCTTCACCTCCTAATCCCTTCTCCTCTGTTTAATATCACAATCAAGTGTCATTTTCTAAATCGCCAAATGCTGCATTGTCATATTTTCTCACGTAATAACACATCTATAATCACTGCACTTTAATGCAATTGTTGCTCGTCCCCGTGATACCGGTAACGATTCTTCAATCCTAATTCAACGGAATGCATCGACTACCGATGGAAAATCTGCAGTCACAATACAGAGTTTAACAACAAGAAACATTTGCAGATAAACTTCCACGAAGTGATACAATACGCATTCAATCTGGCGAACATTCGCATAAACTCATCCGAACCTGTTGTAGTCTATAATCCGGAATTCCTACACAAGCTGGCCAGGCTACTTGCAAACACATCTCGGCGTGTATTAGGTAATACCGTGATTACGAGAAATCTAATGCACGAGCACGTAGCAATTTATCAGTGATTGCTCGACAGCTTAAAATTTTCACGAACTCTTTCGAAATGTCACTCTGTATACCTCTGTTCGCAGTGAACTACGTACAATGGAACATGGTGGACAAATTCCTGCCGTATACTACTCAAGAGATGAGAGACATCAAGTTCAACATGTCGTTCTCGTCGTATAACGTGTCCAATTATACACCACGGTACTAACAATCTCTATTTTTCCTTTCTACAATATTCCTGCGAGAGAAACTGGAAATTTCCGGTTGCAACAAGTTTTGTCCCTTCGAAAAATTTGGGAATTTGAAATGTTGGAAAATTCTTCCAAGAAACCAGTCGAATATTAAGTAAGAGTATTGAGAGAATATGAGATAATTATGTGCAATACGTAAAAAACTTAATAATTCTCTGTTTTTTGTCTTTTTAATTTTTTTTTTTTTTT